CAACATGAAAATCTTGAGCCATCAAGTCCAAAGCCGAAGGATCTACATGGGACCAACTTGAAACAGTACACCACCGTACGTCTCAGAGATGGACCTTGGCAGCATCGGATGCAACTTCCACAACCTGTGCGCGGGGCAGACGGTATAACAACCAAACACGGGGTGATGAATATGGCGTGATTGAATAGGGTGTATTTTATTATTGTTTAAAATAAATGAATATATATATATACAAAGTAAACAATAAACACATCATAAATCATGCTATATAGTTTTTGGTTCATGGGGGTAAGATCAATTATAGTATGTCAAGATATCGATCATCGTTTTTTTGATATTCAGGATGGTGGATGGTGGTGCTGTTTTTAGATGCAAGTGGGCCTTGCCTGGTCACTGCTCTGCGATGATTCAGAACTCGTTGAACTCGACGCGTCGCCAACTGCTGCAACCTGCATCATGCATACTTTATATATATATACACATACATATACATATATATATATATGTGTGTCCAAACATTAAAGCAAATCAAAAGGAAGTAAAAGCAACATGGTGCATGGCAAAAGGTTCAATGCACCTCCGGCATTGCTTGTGGGTCGGCTTCACAAGCAAGAGCTTGAACTGGCAAACACAGACATGCTTAAGGCTTAAACTTAAACCAAACAACTTTAGTCTGAAATGCAAAATGCCGACCCCCTGACCTTAACACAGACTAGTGACTAGATTTGCCTGCTTGAAGAGCTTCCTGCACACACTGCTTGATGAGGCGGATTTGCCAACTCCACAGATTTTGAATGTTGAAACCGCTTGGGATCTTGGAAGCCACCACAACGACAGCGACAGCACCTTGACGATGCGGCACGCGAAGACAAAGTCAGCGCATCCTGGTCCAAACCACTGGCAAAGCCACCCTGGGTGGACGCCCACGCCTGTAAGACGGCTAGTGAACCCAATGTGAACTAAGTCCCACTTCAATGAAGAACAAGTGATATAAATAGCACGCCTTGATTGTCCGCTTCGTTGTCCCTTCTGAGAAGATACCGTAGCGAGCGGCAACGTCGTACCAAATTGCCTATGGGCAAAACAAACCATATTGACAAATATATATATATATATATATGACTTGACTGATTGTCACACACTGTGCACTAAACCAGCCTTAAACTGTTTGTGTCGTGGCCATGGGTCCGCACCAGAAAGCGTAGCACACAGTTCCAGGACAAAAGTGAAGTTTTGCTCCAGAGCCTGCGCGCAGTCAGGCCCACCACAATCTAGGTTGAAAAATTCCTTTGTCTTGCTGTTCCGAAGAGTGTGCAAGCCCACGTGCTGGATCACGCAAGTGTGCACCATATCCTGCGGAAAGCAGCACCGGCAGCTCATCACACATATGTACTTCAGTGGCTTCATACAAAATGTATATTTATATTTATATGTATATGTGCATTTTTATTTATATGTATTTTATATCTATATTTATATCATATAATCTCGATATTATCATACATATATACACACATATATATATATATATATGTATGTATGTACCAATATGGAAGTACTGAATCTACCATATACTTCAGTCCTCCAACATCGACACATAGGCTTCAGGGCCAAGCCTAAGGGTTCCAGCCTGAGTCTTGAATGCTGCACTTGAAATCTAACAAGTCGGATATGTTTTCCTGTGCAAGCACATTGATAGATTCGACACATGTTTGTGTGTCTTCCCAAAATCATAGCCACCAAAACCGATGGTTTTGTAGAAGGTCGATGTATCAAAAAATGGCACCACCATTTGGGGAAAGCCAAAGTTGATCTTGATAGAAAACTGGGGTTCTAGCTGCTTCGTCTGCCATGATTTTCCAGGAGACCAACGGTGCTTTGCAGATTTGAGCAGCCAAATCGCTCGGGGAAGAAATGCCCGGCTGCAAAAATATGATCTCAAAACTCAAACCCCATGGAATGGCGATTGCACCCCAAAACATTGATATTACATTGTATTTTAACTTGTCAATGGGGTTTTAGGATTGCAGATCAAACATCAACCGGTTCCAGGCCAGTGCGGCGACATGCCAGGATCAGCAATTCTCATACCCCACAAACTGACGAAGTAGAGAAGCACATATATTATATAACTTCATGTGGGTAAGTTACTTCACTTGGGTAAGTTGATGGGGTTTGTGATTTGCTGATCCGCAAATGGGTGCACAGAGGGCGCATCTTCACCATGGGACGTTTTCCTTCGTGAAGAAACTGATGTACCCCATTGGCCTCGGATGTACGGATAACAAAAAACTATCATTACAACCTAGAAAATCTAAAGGTGATGATTTAAAGATAACCAAACACGACGTCAAAGCATTTCTCAGGGAACGACTTGAATGGCAGCTCGCTTCATGGAGCCATGATGGACCTGGGCCATGAAGACAACCCCTTAATCCAAGGATTGAACAGCAAACAACGTTACAAGTGGTATTTGAGGTCCAGACAACCCATCTCGATGTTCGCTACCAGGCTGCATGATATGAAATGGCTGCAACATCAACAAGCTAAGTTGTTTCGACAATCGATTGCCGATAAATACCTTCCGTAGGCCCTGGGAACCTACACACCATCCGCAAGCTCCAGGAACATACATCCATCCGTAGGCTGATATTCCACACAAGGATTCTTAGGGGGTGATTCTTGCATTGGTGTTTGCGGCTTGGCCATAGTACATTTACGATTTTGTGGTGTCCCACCCATCTGGTTTGATTTTCCAGCTGGATTTTGACAGGGCATTCAGGGTGCATCGCAACGAATAAAAAATTGCCAGCCACGGCTCAAAGTTGTGACGTTGGGCCACATCCTGGCTCCAAGGCCCGACCGGGCGTATCGCAACGGTGGGGAGATATCTTTGAAGCAAACCGTGATGGGGATGATATGCAGGAACAATATATAACTATAATCGTAATAATAGTAATAGTAAAAACAACAATAACAATAAGAATAATATTGATATTGATATTAATATATATATATATATACAAAAATACATGCATCTGTTTATGTGTATGTGATATAATGGGAATACACAGCCAGTACTATGATATGAGTTTATTTTCAAACAGGAGTGGCAGCCTTGGGTATCCACCATTTCCCCAAATCTAAATTTCAGTCTTCCGATCTCCAGTAGATTCAACAGGTCAACATTTGTGAATAGATCTTACTCTCCATGTTTGGCTGTTTGTCCCAGTTGGAAACTACCAAAAACCCAGGGTGAGGATTGTGAAGGACATGTTTGTAGATCATATTCAAGGGCAAGTCGTGCAAGCGCAACTTCGAGCGACCCGCTCCAATGTGTGAACTTGCAAAATATATAATATATATATATACATATATCAATGTGTCACACCATATTGAAAGAAAATATATGTGTAGTCGCGGTGTCAACATAATTCTATGTATTTATGTTTGTTACATATTTTATATATATATATATTTGCATACATTATTATATATGCACACACACACACTGTTTATCTATTAATACAAACATGCCATGACATCATTCTGCAGGCCATGGCAGAGGCGAAAGCCTCTGGCACTGGCGCGAGCGGCCTCTGTGTGGATGACAAGGCGGTTGCGGCCTCGCTTGGTCTTCGGGCGTTTCTTGGAGCCCCAACACATACCCTCTGGTAAACTAATATAGCTATTGAAAATTGCCATTCATGGTGAGTTTTCCCATTAAAAATTGTGATTTTCTATAGTTATGTTAGTTTACCAGAGGGTACAATTTCACAGTGAAATGGGAAGATTAATAGGAGAATTTCATGTCTCGACAGTGGCAGTTGAATGAACAGATAATTTCAAATACTGACTACATACATCCGTATACGTCCATATACCGTATAGTTCCAATGCAACATGTTCTTGACACGTCGAATTGCAGAGGGGTGACGGTGCCAGCAAAAGTGGGACCTGATTCTTTCTGACGTTTGATGGTATTGCAGATGGTACCGTGGTTTACTTTTGATGTTTTCCATCCCATGGTCCATTTAATCTGGGGGAGAGAGAATAATGAATACCGTCTCAGATCATCTTTGAATGTGTGCGGGTGACGTGTTTACACGGCGCGCAGCTCTTGGGAATTGTTTGCAACTGTTTTCTTCAATTATTTGGGAAATGTATGTAAAAACCCATGTGTGAGATACTTCATGTTCTCCTCTCAAACATGTTTTTCAACGTCATGATACTGTTGTGGATTGCCAAACACGCTCAATGTAAGAAGCCTCTCTACAAGATGGGACAGAAAGGCCACACTTGGTTGGGTAGATGCCAGCACATGTTGGTGATATCCGAAGTTTTACCAGCCTATATTCATGAGATGTGTCTTAGTTTGATTCCCTCGATGCTCATTTTAGACGAAGGAAGCACGTGTTTACAACTCAGTACATCTCGTTACACTTTTTCCATAGTATGGTGCAACATGCATATACCGAATGTACATGCATATGCTACAGTGTCGTTATTATCTTATCTACAACTGATTATATTAGTGATAAATACGTATATGTTTTGGACATATGTATGTGTATATATATACACATATTTATATGTATGTATGTATAATTATAATCAATTAAATATATCTATATATATATATGCAAGCAGCAACTTGTCTGTATATATTCAAATAAATCATACCTTTTCGGTTCTGTCCCTTAATTACAACCCATTTCTGTGACCGAAGGGAAAGATGACCATTGCTGCAGTCGAACCCGGCTATTCAGAGATGTGCCCCGGTCGGCAGTCGGGCAGTCGGCAGCCTCTGGGCTTTGGCCAATACAGATCTTGCCGTTGGGTGCATCTAATCCAATGATCCAGCATTGAATAGTCGTAAACAGATCACCTTCTATTCCAGTCGGAAACAAATCCCCAACTTCAAGAACCAATTTTGATTTATTCATTTGCTATTGTAGGATATTGTAGGGCCGTAGAGCAAAGGGATTGCCTGTCGAAAAATGTTCGCAACGGGGCAAAAACAGATAACGGACTGCCCTTTTGTGGCCAATGTGTTCAGCAATAGGTAGAGGAATACCATTGTCCGTCTTAAGAATAATGTGCAGGGTAGGCTAGCCATGCCAAATCCAACAGCCTGGGAACGTATTCTGTCTCAAGCCTCCCCTAAACAGTTCAAACATGTGAGTTACTCCAGTGTGAAAAACCGTGACACTCCTTTGGCCTGGGGTGTCTTGACACAAAAATCAGTTGTTCGGTTTAGATACTTTCAGTATCTTTCAGTATTCTGCAACCCAAGTGACATTCTGCAAACTTGATATGAAATATATGAATTCTTTCCACTGATTCCAGATTTTGGACATCAGATGATGCTAGTGCACGGCTAAGGTTCTATGCCACCACCAATGGTCAGTACTGCGGCAACTGGCACAATGGTCTCCCAGGACACCAGGTGCTGGGCAAGTGGCGGTGAAGTGGTTGGGAGGGTGCGTGGCAAGTGTCATGTTTTCTCCCACGTGTTGGCAGTGAAATCGCAGCAAATTGAATCCAATTTCTAAGCTGTCCTTCGGATGTGACGGTTCAAAGATGTTGCCGAAAAGTGAACAAGTGCGCAGATTCAAGTTCAATGAACAATTTAACCCGCACTTGAGATTGGCGCTACAATTTGAGTGGATATTTGTCCCATTATCCACTAGTAGCAGATAGGCAGCACATTTGGTTTCAGTACCGGCACATTGATAGGCACCAGTAAATACAAATCAAA